TGTTCATGGTACCCTTTCACATGGCTTACATTTTATAAAAGGATCGTTGATATTCAAGCACTTTCTAATGTAGAGTGGACTGGTGATTGTTCAAATTGTCGTTCTACAACCGATTTTGTAGCATGTATTGGTTCTAATCCAATATAGTGGGGTGCTAAAAAGCAGTCAACGGTGTCTTATTCCTCCATTGAAGAATAATATCATGTTCTTGCTTCCACTATAGTTGAGCTTATTTGGATTCGTCAGTTGTGTAAGGATTTATATATTTTCCTATCCTCTGCACCTACTTTGTGTCTCTACGGGTTAGAGACGTGGAGCAGCCGACTTTCTTCCTGAGATGGGAAAAATGGAGTCGCCATAGTCTTTGTTTATAGGGTGTGACTGGTCACCCAAAATGCATGCATAAGTTGATCTACACAAAAAAATTTAGGTTTGGGGGTCTTTTGTGTATGGGGAAGGTATTAGCACTCCACAACACCCGTTCAACGAATATAACTTTTTTTTTAATATTATTTTTAAGAAAATGGCCTTTAAAGAAAAAAAAAAGAATTTTATTTTGATTTTTAAATGTCCCACGTTTTATCTAAGATAAATAATAATGAGCAATAATTATGAGTGACCTAAAGTCATTAAGAAAAAGTTTATTTATTTGAATTTAAATTGGTCTCTCAACATGAATTCATCACCTCAAGAATATTAGAGAATCGACCTTTCGAATTCTCTAATTTCTATCATAGGAAATTTTTTTATTTTTTCAAGAAATATATCGAATGTCAGGTGAGTAAATCCTTATAAAAGATGATTTTACTAAAAAAAAATAATTTCTTTTTAAACAAAAAGATTTTTATTTGTTTCAAAATGATCTTTAAAACAATTTTTGCATGAGTATTTATTTTTTAGGGAGAAATAGGAGATATAAAAGAAATATTTATTTTTTTAAAAAAATATACATCTATTCTTTAGAAAAAGATAATAAAAATCAAATCTTATCTTCCAAGAAGATTGGCCTCCCGAACATTTCAAGATTCCATCGTTGGGAAAATTTTCCTTTAGAAAAAAAAATGTATTATTTTTTTTTATTATCTTTCTAAACAAATTTGTGCCCCTAATAATCTACATAATCTACACAAGAACATAATTGGATAAAATTAATACCAAAAAAAGAATGTGACCAAATATAAACATTATATGATACAAAATGAACTAACACGAAACATTAGTCTAACCATATACATAACAACTCAATATGCAAATTCTTATTTCATGCTACAATTTGGAAGCAATATTAGCAATTAAACAAAGAAAATACCATATTGAGCAAAATATATCACAAGCAGACAAAATCTACAGTCAAAATTATGGCCCAAGATTAATGCAGACGAAAAGAAAGGATTCTTAGTCTAAATATTATGCTTAATTTAATGAATTTTAAAACCAGTTTTTGTATTCACAGTATCATAACACAAATCGATTTCATAATTGTCAAATTAAAAAGAAAAAAAAAACCATTAAACAGACCCTGAAATTTAACATATGTTTAATTAAGAATATGGGTCAACTTCCTAAAAACTCTAAGTTCTTAAATCTACGAATATCCTTGCAATTTTACCACACAAATAAGCCAAATTTCATTTAGATCAATACGAAACAGTCACATATTCACATATTTTGCAGACAGAATTTTATAATTCTAATACTCTCACGTTTACTCACTTGTGCTTGCTCGTCAAAGTAGTGGTACTGTCGTGACTTGGGATGTATTGGAGCGGGGTTACTATTCGGGAATCACCCATCACAATTTAGCAAAAGGTGGATACTGCTGCTTGTTTACGAATTGTGGGTATGCTCCGAAGATGTCCGTTGCAAGGAATGTAGGGATTGTTTGAATGTAGATTACTGTTTTTTGTGACTCCCCCAATTTATAGTCATTAGACCCAAATTGGTTAAAGGAAAAAAAATCAAACCAAATCAAATAAAGATACATTTTATTTTTAAAATCCTCCCGATCTCAGCAAAACAAGGAAAGAAATATCACTAATAAAAGCCTCAATATTTTTTTACCAATTTTCTTAAGTCAAATAAAAAAAATTTCCTTTTAAAAAAAATATGACTTATTAAAATTTGATTTTTTAAACTACTTTGATTAAATAAAAAGGTTTTTTCAAAAAAAGGAATTTTATTTTACTTTCCCAAAATATTTTTTTGAGAAAATATGGGAATCAAAATATTTTTATTTTTTATTATTATTTTTTTATAAAACATCACAAGAAAAATATTTGTCATAAAGAAAAATAAAAAGTTCTAGAAAGAATTATTAAAAACTAATATATAAAAAAATAAAATAAAATAATGAAATTGAATATCGGACAAATTTGAGGGTCTACACTTTGTATGATGATAACAAAGTCTTCAATTCTTATTGCTTCCAATCCGGTTTTTCATGCTCAAACTAAGCATATCAAGATAGATTTTCACTTTTTTCGGGAGAAGGTCGTTCAAAAGGATATTTCTTTATAATTTGTTCCAACTATGATTTGCTTAACAAATCTTTATCAGTTGATTGTTTTTGCTTACTTGCTTCCAAAGTAATGTCATTACTCCATCAGTTTTAGGGGGAATGTTTAGGGAGTTGGATAGTATATTTTGTAAAATGATATGTTTCACAGTTTAATCTCTCAATATCATATGATTACTAGCGTAATTATTTTGATTATAAATATAAGCCTTCTTCGTCACATTTAGTAGTGGCGTGAGTTATATTTTACCTATGTATAAAATTATACATATAGAACTTAGTTTTTTAAAAATTGGACAAAAATTAAGTGATATGTCGTTATCCCAAAAAAGTAAAGATATTTGATAACTTGTGACACAATATTGAAATTTTAAGGTGGTATGAAATTGATGCCTTCAGCTATAGCAGATAGTCAAACTTCAAAGACAAGCGACAAACATGTAACCCTTAATAGCATTATATGTATATTATTTCTTTTAATATTTATATATGTGTGGTTTAGTTCGATTTTGGGGTTCGATTTTCAACTCTAAACCAAAATCAAACCGCATTGTTCGATTTTGAAATTTTAATAAATCGAAATGAACCGTAAAAGTGCTAAAATCGATTTTTCAAATTGGTCCAGTTCGGTTTGTTAATTTCATCACTTTGATTGTGCACACTTGGGTTGTAGACTTGACTCTTTTTTAAAGTCAGATAATAATTTCAATTTAACGAATAAATCCAATATCATATGAGTAGGTGAAGTAATTACTTAGTAGTACTATTAAATTGGATAAGGTTTAAAGACTCGTTGTTATTGAATTGGCGGCATAATATATTATTATCTCATCATTATATAAAATAATTCATTATTATTCTTACAAATTCTCCCTATTAAATTGAAATAAATTAAAGATTAATTATATTTGAATTATTTAATAAACTCATGCAATATTTGCCGCGATGAATCTATATGTTTCTATTAACAAGGTTGTTGCACATAAATTAAGTCGTCAACTTCAGCATAATTCAATTGGTTAAAGCATAATTCTTGATTAAATGGTCATTTATTTTGGTTTTGACCAAAGTAAACATAACTTAACAATAATTGACATATATCTTCAACTAAGAGGTTGCGAGCTCGATCTCCTATCATAAATGTTGTAAAAAAAATGGTCATTAGTTTGGAATCTACACCATATGTTGTTGTACTAAGAAAATGTCTATTATTTAATAGCATGAGTTATTCATCTCGTGGATCTATAGTCGAGAAAAGTTAAGGGCTCGTTCAAATTTCTTTCGATTTTAATTTTTCTCGTATCATAGTTTTTTGAATATTAAGAATCATAGATTTTTGAAATTAAGAGGATTAGAATTTTTGAATAACCATGAGCTAGGACTTTAATAATAATAGGCTAAATATATAAGAGGGTCATAATCTTTTAGATAATTTTTAATTTGGTCATTAATATTTTAAAATTATTAATTTTGACCTTTATGTGTTAATAAATTTTCAATAATTTATCACTTTATCATTAACATATTTAGACTATGGTATTAAATATATATCGACATGTCGATATTCACATGTGTTCATAGATTCGACATCAACATGAGGGGTAAATCGACATTTCCATAGTATTGTAAAAAAAAAAAAGAATCAAAGAAATATAACTAATATATACATAATACTAATATTAATAAATATTTAACTTATTTAAAAAGGTTGAAGGCTTATTTGTTAATTTAAATATATTTTTTTTATTTTTTTATTTAACATTTCTAGATATATTTATTAAAATCTACATTTCATCGACATTATCATAAAGTTAGAGATTTCGACATTTCCATTAACATTTAAATTTTTGATTTGGACACGCAGAGACGTCACACCTATGCTACATGACACACAAAACCCAACCTGAGTAAAATATGACCTTACCAATTAATAAAATTCACTTCTTCCAAGTGGGATATCCTGATTGCATATATACGTGTGTAAAACAATAATTTAATGATGTATTAATTTTTTTAATAACATATTTTTTTAACCTAAGGATGTAATTGAGAATTTGGAATACAAGGGTCTCGTTTACTTCATTTGATGGTGTTTATTAAATTGTAGGAATAAAATCAACTGGTCGGATCCAGCTCAAACTTTGTAATCACATGATGTAATGTCATTCATTTCCTATAACCTCATCAATCTCATTTCCAATCTTTATTTCGCAGGCCACAATTTTTATCATCGGGGTGTTCACGGGTTGGGTCGGGTCGGGTTAGGGGTATTTATGAGACTAATCCGAATTTTTAAGTTGACCATATGATAGGTGTTTTAACCATTTGTACTATACTCGATGTGGCTGTTTTTTTTATTTATTTCATAGATTATAGATTAGTTAAGATTTAAAAATTTATAATTTGAAAAAGGAAAAGGATTTTTCCTATTTATGAGGTCATAGCCCACCACCCATGACATCACCATCTTCCTCGCACAACAAACTTAACCCCTTCTCTCTCTCTCACTCTTTCCCTCTCTCGTGTCTCGGCCTCTCACTCGCCGGCGAGCAGCAACGGCAAGCAGATCCGACGGGGCGCGCAAAACCACCCTGCAGCGTTCCCCTGCGACAGCCGGTGACTCGCGGCGGTAGTAAATCCTCGAACGAACGGCAACCTTCGCTAAGGTTCACACGGTAATCGGCTTACCTAAATGCCCATAAGTTTCGATTAAAGTGTTCTGAATTCGATCCTAACACCCGAAAACGTTATCTCTTTTGTTTAGAATGTTAGGAGGGAAGTAGTTCTTACTTGGGAGGATGTTTGTTGTATGAATCGTGTGCTTTGTCTGCTTGTTATTGGATATTTGTATATGCATTGTCCTCCTGTTCGTTGGGCCTTGGGGATAATAATCAAGTTTTTTTTGTTTCTCTTTATTGCAGTCATGGCTCTGCGGACAGTGACTAGAAGGTTTGGAAGTAAATTTTTGCCAATGTTTTCTTCTACCAATCTATTACATTCACATGCTACAAGTTTTGGTTGGTTCATCTCTCTCTCTCCTTCCCTCCCTTCCTTCATTCCTTGTATTAAAATATGATAGAGAGATTTGGAGTCCTACTTATGTTTCTGAATTGATTTTTTTTGAAAAGAAAAAATGTTTTTGAATCGTCAATATTATATATTTGAATAGGCCGGGCGGCCTCGTTGGAAAAAGCATGAGATCTCTGAGTAACACCTACCGTAGGGGTCATATATATTTATATATGTATTTGAATAGTTGTTATGTTTGTTACTAGAAGTTCCATACCTCTATTATTAGCAGTAGTCTTCTATGGGATAATCGAGTGGTGAGGGCCTTGGAGGTGTTAAAGGGTACTTTTTCGATCTCAATTGCCTTTGAAGTTCCACTTAAAGGTGTGTGCTGGATTTCAGGTGTGTATGGTCCTCCATCTCCTAGAGGTAGAAGTGCCTTCTGGGAAGAGCTAGGACGTCTCTTCGGATTGTGTGGTGATAAGTGGTGTTTGGCTGGAGATTTCAATGTTGTTAGATTTCCGTTGGAGAAGTCTAGTGGAGGTCGTATCTTGAATTCTATGAGAGCTTTCAACTCCATTATAGAGGATTGTAGTTTGGTGGATCCCCCCTTAGTCAATGGAAGGTTTACTTGGACTGGTCGGAGAGTGAGTTGTAGACTTGATAGATTTCTCCTCTCTAAGGAATGGATAGAGAGCTTCTCTCGTGTAAGGCAGTTTGTGGGGCCCATAATTACTTATGATCATTGGCCAGTTTGTCTAGATGCAGACTCTGTTAAATGTGGGGCCCTTGTCCCTTTAGGTTTGAAAATATGTGGCTTTCACATCATTCGTTTAAAACGTCCTTGCATTTGTGGTGGAATGTCGAAGTTCCTAGAAGGTGGGAAGGTTTCCACTTCATGGGTAAGCTAAGGTCTCTTAGGAATTCTCTGAAAGTTTGGAATGTTCGGTTTTTGGAGATATTCGAGTGTGGAAGTCAGAGATTCTGGAGAAACTTAAAGCTTTAGATTGGTTGGAGGTGGAGGGTGCACTTTCTCCGGGCCTGAGGGAGGAAAGGTTGTCTTTGAAAGGGGTCTTTTGTCTTTGAAAGGGGTCTTTGAAGAGATCATCCTTAAACAGGATGTGAGTTGGAGGCAAAAAGCTAAGGTTAGCTGGGCTAAACATGGTGATAACAGTTCAAGATTGTTTCACCTTGTTGCAAATGGGAGGGAATAAGAATGTTATTGCGCAGTTGATCAATGAGAACGGAAAGATCTTGAAAGAAGCGCATGAGGTGGAGTTTGAGGTAGTCTCGTTCTTCTCTAAGCTGTAAGCCCCAGTGTTCAACCCGAGGCCTTTCTTAGAAGGTCTAGATTCCCTATTTCGAGGTTTGATACAGAAGGTCTGGAGGCGCCTTTCACTTTGGAGGAGATTAAAAAGGTGGTCTTTAGGTTTGACAAAAATAAATCTCCCGGCCCTGATGGTTTCTCTTTGGCGTTCTATTAGGATAACTGGGAGAAAATTAAAGAGGACCTTATGAAAGTTTTGGGGAATTTTATGAGAGGGGGATAATAGATTTGTCTATGAATAAAACTTATGTCTATCTCTGGTTTAAAGATTAATCAAGGAAAAAGCTCGATTATGGGTATAAATTGTGACCCTTCTAAGCTTTCTCACTGGGTTGCCACAGTTGGTTGTGAAGTTGGCAACCCCACGTTCTACTTGGGTCTTCCGTTGGGTCACAACCCTAATACTCTTGCTTTTTGGACCCCGGTGATGGAAAAAATGCAGAAACGCCTATCCTTATGGAAAAGAGGTTTTTTTTTTCTAAAGGAGGGAGATTAACGCTCATTCAAGCAGTTTTAAGTGGGATTCCATTGTATTACCTATCCCTCTTTAAAGCTCTCGTGGCTGTTTGTAAAAGCCTGGAAAAAATTATGCGAGATTTTCTGTGGGAGGGGGTGGACGAAGCGGGTGGAGCTCACTTACTTAGTTGGGGTTTGGTTTCCCAGCCGCTTGAGGTAGGAGGTCTAGGCATTGGGAACTTGAGACACAGGAACGATGCGCTTTTGGCTAAATGGTTGTGGCGGTTCTTCCAAGAACCTAGGGCCTTGTGGCGGAGGATCATTGTGAGTAAGTATGGGCCGCACGCTTTTGATTGGATCTCAGATGGAGGGCTTAAGGTTTGCGCTAGTAACCCCTGGAAGGCTATCTCCTCAGGTTTTTCCTTCTTTTCCCAATTTCTGTCTTGAGTCGGGGATGTTTATAATACTTATTTTTGGGAGGATCATTGGGTGGGAGAAAAGCCTCTTTGTTCTTTATTTCCTCACCTCTTTTCAGACGGGAGGGTGCATTCGGTGGCCTTGGTGGTGGGCTTTGGGGAGGAAGGGTTGTCTATCTCCTTAGGTCTCAGTCGGTCTTTGACTGACAGAGAGTCTCAGGAAGCGGTTGAGTTGCTCCATTTGCTCTCTGATATTCCTTTCTTTCGTGATAGAAAGGATGTCCGTGTTTGGTCCTCAATTCCGTGTTTGGGTTTCTCTTGTAGCTCCTTCATTAAACTTCTTTGCTCCCCAGTTTCTTCCCCTGTTGGTCCAGTGTTTGCCTCTCTTTGGAAAGTGAAAATTCCAAAGAAGATCAAGTTTTTTGTGTGACAGGTTTTACTCGGGAAGGTAAATAGCCTAGATCGTCACCAACGGCTTTCCTGTTTGGGGCCTCATTGGTGTGTTCTTTGCAAGCGAGACTCTGAGGAGCTCGATCACATCTTATGGCAGTGCAAGTTCTCCCTGAATATTTGGAGCCGGTTCTTCCAGGTTTTTGGGGTTTCTTGGGTTCGTCATAGAGATTGGGGGGTTATGGTAGAGGAAGTGCTTTTGTCTCCTCCTTTCCACGAGAAAGGGAGGTTTTTGTGGCAGGCTTGTTTTTTTGCGATTTTATGGGGGATTTGGTTGGAAAGGAATAATAGAATTTTAGGGGCGTGGAGAGAGAAGGAGACTCGGTTTGGGATCTCATCAGATTGATTGTTTCTATATGGGGTTCAATTTCGATAGTGCTTTGTAATTATCAGTTAGGCTCTATTCTTTTGGATTGGAGTCCCTTCCTTTAGGAAGGATTCCTCCTCCTGGGCTTTGTTTTGTATGCCTATATATTTGGTTTATATTTTCATTTATCTTAATGAAAAGTTCTGTTTCTTATAAAAAAAAAATTCAAATAATGTAAACGGTGAAACCAAAATGTTCTTAGATTTATTGTTATGTAGACTTTGTTCAAAACCAAGGAATTTAGCTTCTACCATGTAATGCCATTTTTAAACATAAAGATATTCATGTTGCTACTTGGTAGTTGGGAATAATTCCCTCAAAATTAGAATTTGGAGTTCGGGAAGGGAAGATGAAGAAAAGGTTACAAAGTCGAAGAATGAACTGTTCTCTAAAGGTCAGACTGATTTTTAGTTCTATTAGTCCTCTTGAGTATTCCTTCATTTTTCTTTGAACTCTTTTCAAGATCCTAGAAGGGCTATAATAGAAGATGAGATTTTATTTTATTTTGTTTGTTATTTTTCTTTTTAAACTTATGGCTATTAGGAGTATAGAAGGGGAAGGGGGAAATTATTTGGTAAACTGGAAGGTGGCTTCTCGTAGAGAAGTTGGAGGGTTAAAGAAATTTAGCCATGTCTTCCAAATGGGTAGGAGATTACTAGTAAAGATAGATAAACAAGCATATGGGAAAAATCCAGTAATTCGAGGTAGAAGATGGAGGTAAGTTTTCCTTCTCAAACAACTATCGGATAGATGACATTCCTCTAAAAATTTGCATCATCTTGCTAACTCTAAAGAGAGTTATTATAGATTGTTCGAACAAGGAACATTGTGATATGGAATTTGGCTAGACAACCTCTAAAGAGGTAGAGAGTTTGTAGATTGGTCCTCCTTATATTCTAAACCTTAGATAATTAGGTTTTTGACAAACATAAACAGTTTGGTCCCAGAGCTTTTATTATTCAGGAACATTTACCATAAAATCATGGTCCAATCACCTAATCAAAGATTAAGAAGGCCAAAGTGATATCAGTTTTCATTTGACTAAAAGGCTATTGAATGTTTAACTCCAAAGAAAAAGAATTTTCTTTGGACTCTAGCTCCAAAAGATCAACATGGCAGAGAATGCTTAAATAAGCCACTTTTGATAATCTTTCTTCTTTGTGATGTATTCTTTGCAAAGATAGCTTGAAAGATATAAATCATTTCTGCATTCACTACCATTGTTAGGAATGTCTTTCATGTGGAGTGGATTATTCAAAGTTGTTCAGATTCAGCAGTGTTTGCCTAAGAAATTGCTAAGATGGCAGTTTAGTTGTGTTAAGTACTTGGTTTGAGGAGCGAGTGCTGTTTCTTGGTAACTTTGGTTGGGGAGGAATTGAGGAATTTTTTTATGAGACAAATAGATTCTTGGGAGGGAATTGTATATAGTTCATGTATTCTACTTGCTGTACCCCTTGGCAATTATTTACTTTTTGATTCATGCTTGCAAGCTCTTATCGCTCAAAAATTCGGCCCTCTCCTATTTTACTTTTCACAGATCATCAAAGTCATTTTTACTCGGGGGAAGGGGAATGAAGGAATGAGAATGAAATTTTATTCTTATGGTTGTTGTTTATAAAGTCAAAGGAATGAGATCAAACTCCAGGTCCCACTGCAAAATTATGCTATATTTGAGATCCTCCTCGGGAGGGCCTCTTGTAGAAAACTTTACGACGAATGGTCGGAAGACAACTCAACATCTAATTATTTTGATCAACAATTTTATTAGCATGTTGCATGTTCAAAATTTGGTCAATCTACATGCTATTTTGAAGGTTTGGAGACATGCTTATGATCAATCAAAATAGTATTGTAAGATCGGGAGACAACTTAAAATTGAGATCCTCCACCACTATGAGGTCCTTTTGTCCAAGTGGGTTTGAAGTTGAAAGTTGCCAAATGAACAAGGAGGACTATGTACAAAATTATAATTAGTAAGATGGTGAGGAAGGCTGAAGCTTGAAAATGTATGGTGATTGATTGCCAAGGGAAGCATCTTATCGAAGACCATTAAAAATTTGTGCTTATAGTTAGGAAACCCTCACAAAATATATTCAGTATCAGAGAAGAAGCCCCAGGGCTTTTACAAAAGTCTCCCAGCCTATTTGAGACGGCTGGCTCTCTCCCCTAAACAAGTTTCCCAAAACAACAAGACCACCTGCAACATAAAAACCCAAAAGCATATATAGACTTCTAACTAACTTGAAAATACATACTTCCCAAACGACCCTTCTAGGACTTTCCCTCCCTGCCCCTCCTAACATAAGTATTGACAATTGGGGTCTCACATAGGAGTAAAAGTAGGTTCTGGGGACATTTGGGTGGTACGTGTTAACCTAGGATCTTTAGGGTGGCAGTAGATTGAGGTGCTAAGCATGGACACTTTAATTTGGGCCAACTCGAACACTTGAACACTTATCGGACACGTATACTTGCTAGCTTAATAGATGTGTGTCACACACTAGTTGTACAAAATGAATATGAATTCGACACTTGTTAGACACGTAGCGAAGACTTGTTAAACTTAAGATATAGCCTTAAATACTAATATAGGACAAATTAATAATATTTGAGATCAAAATACATCAAATACCCCAGTGCTATATACTGTGTAGGGATGCTGCTGAGGATCTCGATTCTATCCTCTGGTCTTGTCATTTTTCTTCATCTGTTTGGGATCGGTTGCTTTAGGCTTTTGAGGTTCACCTAGCTCATGCCAGTGAGTGTACTTCAATGTTGGAGGAGGTTCTTCATCCCCTCATTTAAGGATAGAGGTCGTTGCTTGTGGCAGACGGGTGTCTTAGCTATTCTTTGGGGTTTTTGGACCGAGAGAAATGACATGATTTTTAGAGGGGTTGAAGATCTTAGGAGGATGTCTGGGCTCTTGTTCGATTTCACTTCTCCCTTTAGGCCTCTATGTCAAAGCCGTTTGTAATTATCCATTGGGTTTTGATTTTGCTTGATTGGAGCCTGTTTTTTAGTTTGGCTCTCTTTTGTTGGGCATTTTTCTTTTGTATGTCCTTTTGTTTTGTTTCATTATTCTTTCGATTTTTTCTAAAATAGAAAAATAAAATACATTTTTTAAGCATCAAAATGCATAAGCTTATTGACTCTAAATTTTCTTTTGATATAAAAATGATATATACACTAAAAATTTGTATATCTTAATGAATGTGTCTTTGCTGTGTTCATGTCTAGATATTTATAAAATGTCGTGTCACTGTGTCCATGTCGTGTCATATCCATGTCTTGTGTTCGTATCCATGCTTCTTAGTCGAGGTGGAATGGTGAAGAGTTTTTGTAAGACTGCTTTAGATTTGGTGATCCTTATGGAAAAAACCTTCTGGATCAAATTAGGGTTCTTAAGGTTGCTGGGATACCTAAATGGTGCCAAATTGGGGAACAAAGATGATTTTAGGTGGTGGATATTGTACTCATTTGGAATGTTTTTCGTAAGTCAAGTTTCCCAACTTTGGGTACTCAATCAGTTATGAATCAGAAAATGGTTACAGTTTTGGTGGCCATTTGGACGGAAGGGTTGCTAAAATGGTTAAAAATTTTATTTTGATACTGAACCTAGGTGGAAGAAATACAGTTGAAAAGGTGATAGCTGGAGGAATGTGTGTTTGTTGATGCCTAACAAGGTATGTGCTGTATAAAGAGTGGGTCAAGATGCAAGGTCAACTCTGTTTTCGTTGTCCTTTCATCTAAATGGCAGGTTTTGTCTATTTTTTCAATACCTGCTCGACTTTCAATTTTTAAACTCCTAGTAATCTCAAACATTTATTGGAGTAATTGGCCAGGTGCAAAATTAATACAGAAAGCAGAGTTGTTATGGTCCAATGCTGTGAATGCAATCCTTTGAGAGAAATGGTTTCTGAGGAAGAGCAGAATTTTCAGGGAAGAAACTATGAGTTGGGATTAGATTTTTAAGATAGTGAAATATAATATTTCAAGAGCATTTTGAAATTGTTTTGTAATTCTACTCCTTCCACTAGTATTTTTGGTTCGGTGCCTTATTGTAACTATGGTGTGGCTGTGTGAGTATACTTGTATAATGTATTGTATTTACTTTTGTTCGAGTGATTCTGTCAGCTCCTTGGTGTTGATCTTTTTCAATTTTTATGACATTTCCCTTTACTATAACTGTGTTAATATTCCTATATTAAATTAAATCCATTTTATCATAGAGTTTAAGAAATAGATAAATTTATACAGCTTATATTGATTTTCTAAACCTCTTTGTCTACAAAAAGAAAAGTATTTTCATGAAAGTTGAAGAAGTTATTTCACTATTTTGTCTACTTGAATAATTTACATCTATATTAATTCATATATAGAATTATCACATAATATATAATTTGAATAGTATTAAATTTTATGTTTTCTAGAATTTAAGAAGTAATTTATTGTAAAAAATCTTATTTTTTGTCCAAGTGCAAAAGTTTTTAACTGTTAAACTAAAATTTTAATCAATAAACGTGAGGTTGACATAAATTTATTGAAGGGAAGTTTACTTTATACTTACAAACAAATTCCACACTCGTTATGCTAGTATCTAATTAATGGTGATTAGTTTTGGTAAGTGATCATAGAGAAAGCTTGTTTTAGACATCAAATGAGTTTACTTGGACTTAGTATGAACTTAAAACGAACTCAATAATTTCTCATCTTAAGCCTCTTTTATATGTAGATTAAATTTAGATTGGAAGAAAATTATTTATGGGTACTCTTTGCAGGGTTCAAAGAAGTGCCCGAAGAGGAAAAAAGCCGACTGGTTGGTAATGTCTTCACCAATGTTGCTTCAAACTATGATCTAATGAATGATTTGATGAGCGCTGGATTGCATAGATTGTGGAAAGACAGGTGCGACTGTTTGGACTAGAATTTCTGTCTCTCAATTGCACATGACATATTTTCTTCTTTTCTTTTAATGTTATATGCTAAATATTACAGACTCGTGTCCGAGCTAAATCCCTTTCCAGGAATGAAGCATCTTGATGTAGCTGGTGGTACAGGTATGCATTGCATACTATTTGCATCATTTTTTTTTAATGTGATACCAATGCACATGATTATCATAATTTGAACTCGTAGGTGTGCTAATTTTGACTATGAAGAGATTTTTATTTTTATCAATATCGTTTGCAAAGATTCTGTACTTTGTTTTTGGAGACTATTGATTTCTATTAATTTGGGAAGTTCAAAATTTTAAAGTTTAGGATCAATTGCTTGCTTCAAAATTTTAGTTAGCCATGTTACTGTTTATGTTGTGTTGTGGAACATTTCCATCCTTCCCCCCAATTAGCATGCAGTTGTACTTGTCAGTCTAGGAAAGGAAAACCTATAGAAATAGTAATATAATATGCTTTACCATTTCCAATAGATTCAGATTCAATACTACTAATGCTTACTAAAGATTCAAAATCTGAATCATCATTTTCAATCAAATGGATGTTATTTCGAAAGAGCTCACCAAATGAGTTTATTTTATCATTTATCAAGGTATTAGCTGTCTTATTAGAAAAATCCAACATAGGCGCTTTATGAACTTGCTGACCTTTGGGGATTAGTTCCATCTCGGAATTGAGATTGCTAGAATCGATATTAGAGGAACTCCCAAGTCTCAAACATCTTTCTTCCATAATGTCTGAGGAAGCTATCAGGGTATGGTTAAGAGACAAAGAGGTGACATTCTCTTTAGTAATCTCATCCACTCTTTTCGTCGAGAGTAAAATAGAGAGTGGGTGGCAATAAATGAGTTTTTAATGTCTAAAATGCTCTTGGGAAGAGAAGAAGTAATATCTGGAAGTTTCTTGATTGGAGGAGGAGACATTTCTAGTGTCTCATTTAAGACAAGGCTGCTTTTTGACGAAAGCATCACTTGAAGGCTGAAAATTCAAGAAAATATCATCAGGCACCAATAACTCGTTTGATATAACAGCTTTTCCATCTTCCAGGATGTTTTTGCTGTCTGCCATTAAAATTTCCTCATTGGAATCATGAAAAGCAGTTCTCAAACTATCTTCAACCAAGACATTATTATGCTGATCTGTAACCAGAACTTCTTCATTAATACCTCGTTCGATATAACAGCTTTTCCATCTTCCAGGATGTTTTTGCTGTCTATGGCCTCTTGGTGCCTCACAAATAGGAGACTTTTTGGTAATTACAATATAGTTTTACTCTCTCGAGATTGGAAAGCAGTAATGTATTAGCTGTTTTGGGGAGGGCCACCTTGGCCCTCGCCCTTAGGTTGCTGCTCCTTTTTTGTCGATAATACATTTTGTTTCTGGTAAAAAAAAAAAAAATCTTCCAGAACTTGCTGGATTCATTGAAAATCAATCTTATTATGAAGAAGACTTGAATCAAAATTCAAATGATCTATTTTGAATGATTGATGGTTGAAACTTTGAAGGCTTGCAACAATCGGAAACTCGAATGAAGAATGAATCAAGTTTGGGATCTTGAATTTTAAGGTATGCAGGTAGGAAACCACATAAATTTGGTTTAATGTGAATAAAAACCTCGGAGCAATCGAGCAGATTTAAAGTATTGGAAAAATGGTTCACTAATCCCCCAAAATGACTTCCCAAGGCTTCAAGACATGGTCGATTCTAATACTTAAGAGGTCAATCACAATTACGAATCCATCCTCATTGAAGGGTCTCACTATGTCAACCTTATTCATATTCCCTTCACTATTCAACAAAGCTTCTCTAATCATTTCCCAAAATACAAGCCAACCTCTTTTGTTAACATTAGCAGGAATCACGATACTTCTTCTAAACCCTTTAATAGAGTAAGCTGCACATTCAAAGCTTCAACCAAATTGATTTAGAATTTTCTTTATACTGCAAGTGCCTTCCATCTCCCATTATTGTTTGAAGAAATGGACCTTCAAAGGGTATTGAATTACATCCATGATAACCTCTTCAAACCATTGCAACTGATTCGAGGAAATAAAAACCTAAAAGCTTCGATTCTTTCTCCTTTCCTCCAACATAAATCCACCATTTGACCATCTAATGGAAAAATAATTCTTTTCCATGGAGCAACTGCTTGAAACCATGATCGTTGACAAGTGAAACACTCTAATAAACTGGAAAAAAAGGAACAAATGAAGAAACGGCTGATGAACTTGAACTTGGCTAGGAATCACAAAATGAAAGGCCTAGAGACAGCATTCCATTGCTCAATCGTTTTATCTTTCACTTCATTAACTTTTTACCTCTTTAAATGTTTTCACTTTTTAGCTTGTTTGTGTTTTCTATTAAAATACATTCTTATTTTTTTCTGTTTTTTTTTCTATTAAAAAAACGATCTAAAAGTTTTAGTTTCTAGAATCTTGTGAGGTGCAATATTCTTGGATTGTCTTCCATTTTCTTAACCTATTTGAAGTTGTTGATGGAAGTTTTCTTTAAGTTACCCTAAATATTCTTTTTTTTTAGAACTGGGAGTCAGAGCTTTGCTACCCTACTATACCCAGGGGCACCCGCGCTCGCCTCAAGACCCTAACCCGAGAGACATCATACGTTTTTTTGGTATTAAGCTCACCAAAAGGTTTGAACCTGAGACTTCTAAGCCAGTATGACCAAGAGAGCCATTGCCAACTAGGCTGCCCCTTGGGGGCTTAAGTTACCCTGAATATTAAAATTAGAACTACTTGAATATTAAAACTAGAACCAAGGTTTTTAACTCGTGAATCAAAATGAGTATCAAAATTAAATTTTAGTGTATTGAGATTTGTAATGTATTGTGTATCGTGAGTTTTAATATTTAACTAATATTTAAATATAAGTTATATATAATAAAAGTAAAAATGGACAAATAAGAAGCACAACGTTCATATTCAATAGGTAAAAAAACTAAATAATGAAAATATTTTAAATTTAAAAATTTAAAAAATTACAGTAGAAAATCTTGAATTATTAGAATTTGTTAAAAAAAAAATTGGAATGTGATCACTTCCAAGGTAAAACATTTCAATTTCATTTCAGTTTTTAAGAATCTTCCAATCCATCCATTGTATGGTAAGTCTAGAGCCTTTTAATTGACATTGTGAAAATCTTTCACCCTCCCACATTCCCACATACTTGCGGTTCTCTTCTTCTTCTATCTCATTTCTCAGTGTGTTTCCTTTAAGAACATAATCAATCAAAGTTCTTTCTTCTCTCACAAACAGCTTTGCTGCATGTCCATGCCATGCCACATCTCCTCCAAATTGAATGGGAGCACGCTGCATCTTCCTCCTTTTCGTTTCAGAAATCAAAATTTATTTTCTATGATATGTTTTGTTTCCTTCCTTCTATGGAGTTTGCAAGAGGAGAAGAGATTCAACGTAAACCATTTGAATCTTCTACGAAATTCTTGAATCAGATTGATACACATCCTGCTTCTTGCGGTTTAAAGTTGGAATTGAATGATCCATTGTGTTTACGATTCAAAGTCACGAGGATTGTGAGGCTTACAGTTCGTTCTCACTTGTACTGTATTGTAGGAGTTTAATAACCTTGAATAGAACTACTTAATCAACACATGAATGTTTTTCTATTTAGTCCTTAAAAGATATGACAAGTATTTAGGTGTTATATTAATTCCTCACATGTTGCAGGTGATGTTGCTTTCAGGATTCTAGAAAGTATAAATGATATCAAACGTAGAGCAATGCAAGATGTTCGGGAGGATGATTTGCAAGAGGAAACTCAAATATATGTTTGTGATGTCAACCCAAATATGTTAAATGTTGGTAAAAATCGAGCCATAGAGAGAGGTAAATTTACAGTAAACATGGATCTACCTACATTATCTGAATGAAATTTGTTGTCAGGAAAATATTGTCATAATTTGTAACTTATAGGTCTGGGAGAAGAAAAATCTCTTATATGGGTGGAAGGAGATGCAGAAGCTTTAAGTTTTCAAGATAATTCAATGGATGGTTATACAATTGCATTTGGAATTAGAAATGTTACGCACATTGAAAAAGCTCTAGATGAAGCTTATAGGTAAACTCATTTTTCTCATGAAATTATCTTATGCTTATACTTATATAGTAGATCCTACGGAAGAGTGACTAATTTGTGTTGTCCTCTAAAATTTTTGTCATATTCTGTGGCTAATGTTATATAAATTGTAGAGGTTTGAATACTCTATCATCAATTTTTTTATATATTGGGTTAGGTGATACCAGTGTGGTCCCAACCTAAGGAATTAACAGTCATGTTAGAGGAGAGTTGGAGAGTGGAGAGAGTTTCGAAAAGGGTTTAGGTTAGGATCAAGAATGCAAAAGTGTCTTGAATGTGCTTCCCATCCACCAATGTTTGGCATTCTTTAAATAGTAGTATGTCAGGGCTGGCCAGAACTATATAATGCTGCCTAGAAGTTTGGAGATTTTAGATGTGGAATGTGTTGATAAGGTCCCAAAGTAAGCACCCATTTATGATCGGTAGGCTTCTTTCCTGGGAGAGAAACTAAATCCCAAAAACCATTGTCATCTAAGGCAATCATCTCCTCCAACACAGCAGAAGGCAGTCATCCCAACATAGCAGCACGCCAACCAGATTGAGACAAGGCTTTATGAACAGTCTCAGGAACAGATTAAGACTCAAGAGATACAATGAACGAATAAGTTGGAAAGAACAAATGATTATAGGACACAAAAGACGAAACAGGATAAGTGCATTTATGTTTACCTTCACGAAGAGCAACAAGAAGATCATTGCTTATTCCTGGATTCAATAACGAAAAAGCTATTGGTTTAGGACATGTGATGGAAGGAGGTTGCCTTCGAGAATAGACTTGAGTAATAGGTGGGAGAGGAGGATCAGGCGTAGATGGTGATGTGTTGCTAGAGGGCACTTCCATATAAGAAAAGAAAATGGAATAGACAAGAAAGTATAAAATTTCGTTCCAACCCATTTCTCCGCTGGTGCTCCAATCCATTTCTCAGCTGATTTCCATGGCCATCTTCGCTAGTGAGTGAGCAATTTTGTTCTTCTCCCGTCTAATGTGGGTAACGTCAAGAACATTCTTCTCCTTTGCAAGCTAGACACCTCCTCAACTAGTTAGCAGATTCAGTTAGCATCTCCTGTACGATTCGACCAAGACCACTGATTCCATGCTGTCATTCCCAACGGCGTCAATATTAATTTTCCAGTAGTTCAGTGGTGGTGGATTTTGGTTTGTATCTGTATCATCTGAGATTTCATCCCTATAGTTTCAATTTAATGGTGCTATCTCGTGACCCACGATCTCCCCAGCGTGACTCGAGCAGCAACGACAACTATCTACATATCTGAATGACGACGATTCAACTCTGTACAACAGCATGATCCACTATCTACCGCTTCCATGCAGAGATTCGAGTGAAGCATGACTCGAACTTGCAAGGCCTCATGGGCTGAGTTGAGGGTTCCGGTTGTGTTCGACAATGGTTGCGTCTCTAAGAGCAGTAAAGTGTGCAGTTGCACACAGAGGTGTCTCAACAACGTATTCTCTCACGCTACAGAAGTTGGAGTTAGCTTGGCTCTTAGGCACACTATCAGACCTGGAAATCTGCCCTTTGTCGTTAAAATTCTTCAAAACATGGAGAAATGGAGAGACGACCTTCTGGATCCAAAAAATCACAAACAAATAAGGGGTCTTCGCAGAAATTATAAAGCTAGAAGGTAATGGTAGTAAACAAAACATTGTGAAATTGTGATTCCCTCAGCGGAAAACAGAGAAGGGTGGATTTCAGTTGTGGATATGATAAAGAGCTAGGTTGTAATAATATCTCTTGGCACTTGAATGGAGAGATGTCTCATCTTCACCCTCCCTCATGTTATAACTATCTTTTTTCTTATTTTTTTCTTTTCCTTAAAAATGGGGTAGTTATCTAAAACAAAATGTTTCATTTTTTTTTATATGAAACAAATATTTCATTGATGATATGAAATATACAAAAGGCCACATGGGCAATTACAAGAGAGCTTTCCAACTTGTAATAAGATCATTTAGAGAATAGCTACTAAAAATTGGGTAGAAACATTTGCACCATCCGAGAGCTAATGTAATGACCCTATCAAAAATTAAATCAAAAGGGAGAGCCTTGTCATTGAAAACCCTGTTGTTCCTTCCCAACCAAAGACTCCAAAAGAAGGCCCGAGCAAACTGTATCCATAGAGTCATTTTTCTTCTCTTAATTGGGTGCCCCGCCAATATCTGGTTTAGAAAGATAGTAGGATTTGTGTGTAGGGGAGTTTCCCATCCAAAAGTTGCGAGTAGTTGGCTCCAAAATTGATGAGCGAAATCACATTGTGTCAATAGGTGTCCCTGTGTTTCTGTAGCTTTAAAACAGAGAAGGCAATAGTTTGGGGATAGGGTGATGTGGGGGAGCTTTTTCTGTAGTCCGTCATGGGTATTGATCACCCCATGACTAAGTTCCCAGCAGAAGAACTTGATTTTCCTTGGGCATGACTAAAACAAAATGTTTCCTTGGGTATTGATCACCCCATGACTAAAACAAAATGTTTCATGATTATCTCTTGCTTTCTTTTGGAAATATATTTATTTACTAATTGTGTTTGTTTTTACAGGGTTCTAAAACGAGGAGGAAGATTTCTTTGCCTCGAGCTAAGCCATGTTGAAGCGCCTGTATTTAAGGAATTGTATGTAACTTTTACACATTCAATTAGAGAAAAAAGTAATATTTCATGGACGGTGATCTACAAACTCCAACTATTTCACCAACTTTAAACTTACTTTCTAAAACTTTTCGAGAACTTCTCATTTAATTTTTATATAATGTTGAGTTTTTAATGAAGCAATTTAGAAAGTTATTGTCAAATTTTGGCCTTGAAATTTATTTTGTCCTTGATAAGAAGGTTTTATAAATTTTCTAGATATCTTAAAAGGTCGACCTTATATTTATGTCTTGTTCTTGGTTTTATTTTTCCTTCTTTCTAAGAAACGAGATTCATTCAAAAGGAGGGAGAGGGAGAAAGCAACCCAAGGCCAAAGAGATAGTGTCCCCAAAAAAGGGATGTAACAAACACCACCCTGAATCTAGGTTTAATGTAGATGATTGTTATTATGAAATCATTGGAGAGCACTATCAGAGACATTCAGCTGCATGTATTATATTTTTTCTTTTAAAAAAGGAAAAAGAAACTCGGAGGCCTGTATTTGTTTTCCTATAAAATTCAGGCTTTTTCATATGGGCACTATCTGGTAAAGGATTTCATGCAGCCAAATATAAATCTATCGTTTTATGCAGAATTCTATTGTTTCATCTATGTTGTTTTTTGGGTGCTATGGTTTTTTAAGACATTTGATTTCTGACCAACGTACGTGTATTTATGAACAAGGTTAAATTGTTTTCTTTGTTTGACATAAGCATATCAAAGTAGGACTCTTTCTGTTTTCTTTGCTAATTTATGTACTAGGTTACGTGGAATTATTTAATGTAATTCTGTTTTCTATTTTCCTATTTTACTTTAAAGGTCGTGTTTCATTTATTGCTTATTCTTTACTAAATAAAAGTTGCATCTTATTCAGTCTGTCTTAAGGACATCTGACCTACTTCCTCTCCTTGTTCAAAATTCCGGTGTCACTGAGCAATAGTATAGGAAAGATCCTGAGGGATTTTTTGTGGGAGGGGTGGATGAAAGGGGTGGGTCTCATTCAGTTAGTTGAGAGGTTTGGGTAATGGGAATATGAGACAGCGTGATGAGGTGTTGTTGGTTGGATGGTTGTGGCGGTTCTTTTAGAACCTAATGTTCTGTGGCATAGGATCGTTGTTAGTAAATACGGTCTGCACACTTTTGGTTGGTTCTCTGGTAAATGACCTTAAGGTTTCAATGAAAAACCCTTGGAAGGATCTATTTCCCCTTCTCTTAATTTTTAAATTGTTTCATCAGGGATGGCTATGAGACTTACTTTTTGAGAGGATCCTTGGGTGAGTGATAAACTCTTTTGTGTCTTATTTCTTTGGTTGTATCATCTTTTGAACGCAAAACCACATTCAGTGGCCTTCGTTTTATCACCTTCCGGGTAGTTCTCATTCCATCTCCTTGGGGATCTATTGGTCCTTGACAGATAGGGAAAGCTTTGGAGGCCTCGAACTTGATTTTTCTGCTTATGGATGTTTGTCTCTATTAGGGCAGGAAGGATTCTTGAGTTTGGTGAGATCCCAAGTCCCTAAGCGGGCCCCAGCGGATTCTTTGGCATTGATGAATGACCTCCTAGTCCATTAGAGGGTTTTTTCTAATAGTTCTTTCTATCATCTTGGGTGTCCCCTCACTTCCCTAATGTCCCCCAGTTTTTTGCCTCGATCTAGAAGGTTAGAATTTCGAAGAAGATTAAGTTCTTTACTTGGCAGGTTTTACAATGGAAAAGTTAATACTTAAAACCATTCAAAGGCACTATTCTCTCTTGCTAGGCCACATTGCTTAGTCATTATGACACCGATTTTTTATTTTTAATTTTTTTTTGAGGCTTTTAGAGTATCCAAGGCAAGAAATAGATACTGCCAGGTAATGGTGGAGGAAGTTTTTCTATATCCTCCTTTTAGGATAAGCGCAAAATTATTTGGTGAACATATATTTTTTTTGTTATGGGGTATATGGATTAAGAGAAACAATAGAGTTTTTAGAGGGTTAGAGAGGTCCTGGGAGCTTGTAAGATTCAATACTTCTTTGTCGATTTCGGTTATAAGGGATTAATGTAATTAACATTTAGGAGTAAGATAATGATTTTGAAGAGGATGATGGAGCAATTTGTATTAGTAGTTTGGACTCTTCCCCAAAGTTGGACCTCCCTAGTGAGGATGCTTTTGAGCAATCATTCGAGGAAGATTTTTAGATCCTATTTAACGAGCAGAAAGAAGATGAGAAGTCAGATTTTTCAAAGCAAACAACCATTCCTCATTTTTCTGAAGAAATGAGGATTACTCTTGTCCCGTTTGATAGAGATCTCTAATTTTTAATATTTTTTGAGTAGTCGATTGGATCCTCCGAGTTTTAAGTTGTTTCGGAAAGTTGAAAGGTGATAAGTTGAATTATAAAGGGTTGCTAGTTGCCCTTCATCTAGGTAGCAGCCTTTTTAGTGAGTATTTATTATGCAGCTTGGTTGGTTGGTGAGGATTTGAACGGATCTTTCTTGTAGACCTCTCAGTCTGTGGGTTGGCATATGGTGGTTTTCTTTGGAGGGTATTTTGAAGTTAGTATTGAGCCTTCGTTTTTGGAGATTTCTCCTTGTCAGTCTTCGTGGAGACGGCCTTTTCTCGCTCTGTTTTTAGCATTTCGGCTGGTTGTGGTTTAGTTCCTCCAAGGTTTTTTATAGACTATATCATGAGTCCCTAGCTTCTGCTCGGTTCTTTTTGGAGCTTGGTTTTCGTTTTTGGTTCTAAGGAAGGTTTTATCCCTCGAGCTTGTGGCTCTGCAGTTCTTTTGGTTCTTGAAGCTTAGTTGCAAGCAGTTTTTTGAGTTCTTATTTAGCATGCTCTTTATGTTTTTTGAGTTTGTTTGGTTCTTGTTGAATTCTATGTTATTTTTTTCTTCTTCTTTTTTCACCCCAAAGCGAAATATTTTTCCTTTTCATATATCAATGAAAAGTTGTTTCTTTTTAGGAAAAAAAAAACATTTATGAGCTCCCATGGATTGGTGCCCTTTTTGTAGGCCTGGCTTCCTTTTGTTGGGGTGGTTTTTTTTTTGTATATCCTTGTACATTTTTTTTATTGAGCTTATTTGTCTTAATGAAAGCTCGGCTTCTTTATATATAAAAAAAGGTTACATATTTTGGAAACCACATGTACTCCATATCACAAAACTTATGGGTGGTTATTGAATGGTCTAATCAAGCCCTTGGTAGCCTGAATTCTTCAACTTCAATTGATTTTCTTTCTTTAATATGTTTCCAACCTAGGATACACTCTAGATGTTATCACGAATTTCTTCTAGCAGTTAAATTCAACTTATATTTTTCTATTTTAACAAGAAATAAAAATTTCATTGATGTATGGCAAAGAACAAAAAACTAAATTTAATCTATATTGATCCTTTTATCCAAACAATAACTTGAATTTCCATCTTCTGGTGCAGATATGACTATTATTCATTCTCTATAATTCCAGCCGTTGGAGAGCTAGTTGTAGGTGATCGGGAATCTTACCAATACCTAGTTGAAAGCATCCGTCGATTTCCCTCACAGGTTATAGTGCTTTCCTCTTCTCTCTTTTTCTCATACAAGAATCAAACTGTTAATTGGAGTTGTGAAAAGTTGGAATCACATATGATCCGTCACTGAAAAATGACAAGAATGCCTCCAATTAGAATTAATTACAGAAGCATTACAATTACAAAATGACTAAGGAAACTCCATAAAGAGCGTTGGAACTTGGAACTAAGGTAAATCAATCACATCCATCCACGGTTTCTGTTTCTCATGAAAGATCTGATTATTTCTCTAGCCTTTAAACTTCAAGCGACATCTTTGATTGCATTGATCCATATTTTCATAAGATTTTAGCTTTTTCTTTAGAGTTCTGGCCACCTAGTTACTGGCCAACACCCATGAGATTGGAAAATGTTGTAGTATAATTTCCCAACAATTACTACTATAGGGGGTAAATCACAGGAAAATGTGGCCATTGCTTTCTTTAGCTTTTCTACACAAATACTCCAACTTAGATTTAGCAACCATATTCAGACTCACTTATATCTTTTCAGCCCTATTTAATTTATACAAATAATTTAACTTTCATTGGCACCTTCCTTCTCCAGATAGCCTTCAATACTTCTTTTCATAAGAAAGTTCTAATTCTGTTGATTATGCTGCATGCAGTCAAATTGTTAATTATTGTCTGCCTGCGGCTTTTTGATAAAGTACAACATACCTCCACGGAGATGCCCTTATTACTGTCTTCCTGCTGGCTTTTGGATCTTACTTAAACATATATACTTAAGATACGTGGATTGGAATGAAACCACATGATTTTCTTATAAATTCTATATAAGCTTCAAAGTAATCAATCAAATTTATAACTTACAAGCACATTGGATGAAGTGCCACAAATTTCTCCTAAAGCTTCAATGATCTCCTTCCACACAATCCAAGGTGTGCTATCCGACTCTCCATGCTTAAAACTTCGTTCCCTCTTCAAATTTCAAATGTAAAAAACCCCCTCATTTTTTCAGCTAGCCAATCATACTTCATTAGCTACCTTTTTCCTTTTACATCTGAGTAAAGACTTGCCCACGTGGAATTGATTCGGCCTACCTTTCTCATTATGAAAAGTTGTTTATTTTATTGAAGAGCACAAGGAACGACCACATGTTATATAGGCTTATCAAATACTACATTCACATTGTCACGTGATGGTTTTAGAATTAGAACCATGCTATGCATGTGACTAGCACTTCAGTGGTTCCGGAAAATATGAATTATTAACCAGTGTTAAGCTTGTGTGCTGGACACAAAAAAAGGGGACATGATGAGCGAGCTATTGATAGATGGGCGGAAGAACAATAGCAGATTGGTATACGAGAAAGAACAAAGAAAGAGAATTGGAGAACAGAAAAAAGGAAGATTTGAATAAGATGAAAGGAAGAATAGATAACTTAAGAATATAAGCTTGTCGGAGAATAATAGAGGAAAAACCACCAACCGAACCTTAGAATGTCTACTTATAGAAGTTAGATAGATGCTTTAAGCGTTGATTTCCAGGTTTCTTGTAATTGTTAATCTGTTTTACTTTATTTCCCCTCTATACTGTGCTATTTCTTCAAGGGGATAAAAAAGAAAAGGAAATAACGAATGATGGAATACTTGGTTCATGCATTGTTTACTTCTGCCAGTTATCTTAACTTAGTGCAGTGCATGTATGTGTTAACAAATACACAAGTTTTCATTTTTTGCGGTTTAAAACTCTATTTCTTAGTTTAATTGTTGACTTACCTTTGATTTTTATGATCAATTAAACCTCTGATTTTTGTGATAAAGATCATAAAGAAGTAATATAATCACTCAAGTCTTCGTTTATGATGAACTTTCTCAAATGAATGAAAACCGTATATGTTCGTATTGTTTTGTTAGGATTTGAGCGGTTAGGGCTTGAAATGTTGTTTAGAGATACCTTCCCAAGGCACTCGTTTCAAGTCTTCCAGTGGAAAACTTGGGGCCTATTTATAACGTTTTCATTTCTTGTTTCCTATTTTTTATTAAAGAAAAACGTAATTGTATTTAGTAACTATTTCTTGTTCTTTATAAGTGAAGAATCATCCAAAACAATATATTTATTTATGTTTTGGAAAAAATTGGAAACAAGAAGAAACTTGATTCTTTTGTTTCCAAAATTTCTACACAATTTTAGATACGTTTCTAAAAAAATAGTAACAAGAAACCTAATTAGTTGTCAAATGCTTAGGCTTGTTAATAAAACTGAAAATAAGAAATGAGAACGTTACCAAACAGGCTCTTAATAACTTAAAACTTTCATAACCTCTTGGAATTGGCCATGGGTTGGGTAAAACCCCACAAATATAAATTCCCATGACATAACGTAGGATTCGAGCTTACAACACTTGATTATTAAAAGAAGAAAGAAGAAGAACGATTTGAGCAACGTAGGATTAGTTTGTTCTTATTATATGTTTGCTTGTTTTGGTAACTGTTTTTCATACTGATGTTTGACCGGTGGGATGCAGGAGAAGTTTGCTTCCATGATTGTCGATTCAGGCTTCCAGAAGGTCGAGTACGAAAATCTTGTTGGAGGAGTTGTTGCAATCCATTCAGGCTTGAAACTTTAGAACTTAGCTTTTATATCCACTTGTAACTTAGAATTACGACCAAGAGGATGGTTCTCTTTTCCTAATCATCTCATCCAATAATTAGTTAATGGATGAGTTCCTAACTAGCAAATAAGGGCCCGTTGGCTACTTTTAAGAAATACGTTTATTTACTTTTATTTACTTTTTTATTTTGTCTTTAAAATTCTAGTTGAGAATTTTTAAATTTTGAAAAGATTGGTTAAGATTTTGAAAGTGTATTTAATAAATATATATTGTTAGGTTCATTATTTGTAAATATTAGTTGTAAATTAACTGTGAATATTAATTTCTTTATTTCCCTTCATGTATTGAGCGTCTCTTCTATATAAGATATGTATTTCTTCTTATTATTTGTTGGAATACTAATAATTTATTCAATTCAAATCAAGTTGGTATTAGAGCTAGGTTATCCTTAAAACCCCTAGCCATTAAAATCCAATACACTATAAACACGGTTGTCGCTGCTGCCGCCATGTTGCTATTGGAACCCTAGTCGCCGTTCTCAATCGGTGCATCCTACTTTCGATAGTTCCTTCGTGCGAGGTTGTTCTGTTTCTACCTTAATATCAGTTTTGTGGTCTCATCTGCTATAGTTAACCTTTGTTTTTTGCCATTACGGTTGAAGAAATCGTTGAAATGACTCAAAGTATAATGGAATATGAAAGTGATTGGAAGCAAGTTCGCACCAACAATGTTGACTCAAAACCATTTAGTAGAGAGTATTTATCTCAATGGCTAGAGATCAATTTGTCACTTGGTAATATTTGTATTTCCTTGGTGCAAACAGGTAATTACCCTAGAGCACTTTCTTGTTTTGGTTCATCTCCGTAGATCGTTGATTTCGGAGCTTCTGACCATATAACTAGTTCTTCTAAAATTTTTTATTCATACTCTCCTACATATTGTAATGAAAAAAATTAAGATTGTCGATGACAGTTTATCTTCTATGGTAGGAAAAGGAAACATTAAATTAATTGAAAATATTATTCTTCAATCGGTTCTTTATGTTCCTAAGTTAGCCTTCTATCTTCTATCAACTAGTAAACTCTCTAAAGATTCTAACTGTCTTGTTACTTTTTATGCGTCTTGTTGTGTTTTTAGGATCAATCATCGGGGAAGGCATTTGGATGTGCTAGGATGCTGGATGGCCTTTACTACTTTGATGAGCCTTTTGGCCGTAATAAAATGATTTAGTGCTTTAGTAGTAACCGTTCTCTCTCTGGTAAAGAACAAATTATGCTTTGACATTTTAGGCTAGAACATCCTAGTTTCTTCTATCTTAAATATCTATTCCCAAATTTGTTTAAAGGAGTTGATTGTTCTCAATTTCATTGTGAAAATTACATCTTTGCAAAACATCATCGAGCCACATATTTGCCAAAACCTTACAAGTCCTTCAAACCGATCTACTTGATTCATAGTGATGTTTGAGATCCTTCTAAAGTTCTAACTTATAGTGATAGACGTTGGTTTGTAACTTTTATTGATGATCATACTCGTTTGTTTTGAGTTTATTTATTGACAAACAAATATGATGTGAATGATATTTTCAAATGTTTTTACGATATGATTGAAAACTAATTTCAAATCAAAATTAGTATCTTGTATTCTGATAATGGAACTAAATATTTCAATGAACATTTGAGTGAATTTTGAAAAATAAAGGCATTGTTCTGCTCCACTTGTGGAGATACTCCTCAATAAAATGGTATTGGTGACGAAAAAATAAGCATTTATTGGAGGTTGCTCGTGCCATAATCTTTTTTATGAATGTCCCCAAGTACTTATGAGGTGAAGCAGTTCTCAAGGCTGCCTACCTAATAAATCAGATGCCTACTAAAGTTTTGAAGTTTAAAACTCCTCTCGTTCTTTTTTTTTTTGAGCAAAACCCCTCTTGTTGTTTAGAAAGAAAATTTTCCAGCAACTCGTTTAAACTTTGATTTACCTCTCAAAGTTTTTGGGTGTACCACTTATGTGCATATTTCCCGTCATTCTTGATCAAAATTAGATCATAGGGTTATTAAATGCATTTTCTAGGTGATGATTTTAGAAAAAAAGGTACCAATATTTCGATCTAGGGAGAAACTAAATTTAGAGGATTGATAATTTTTGAAATATATCTATCTTCCTTCCTAATGTTATAAGTCCCAACTTTACTAGCCCTAGTTCTAACTTTATTAGTTCTTCAATGCCAAGTGTAGAAAATTCTCATTGAGGGGCAGAATTACTACGAAATGATCGAATTGATCTAAATCCGGAGTTTAAGTTTTATACTAGAAGAAGACTCAATCAAACAAATGAGGACTTGATAGCTCACTCATCACAGACCCAATCTGAAGCTCCAAGGGATAATTTTGAAACTCCAGTTAATCAATCTTCCATCCTTGTCACTCCAAATATTGAAAATGTATGTCTCATCTATTGTTTTTGATCTTGATGTTCCTATAGTCTTAAGAAAAAGAACTCGAACTTGCAATTTTGATTGTCTATGTAGATGACATTGTGCTTACAGGTGATGATGAAGTAGAATTGACCACTTTAAAGAAAAGACTCGCAAGTGAATTTCAAATCAAGGACCTAGGACCGTTAAAGTACTTCCTAGGAATGAAGTTTGCGGGATCTAAGAAAGATATCTTTATTAATCAAAGAAAATATATTCTTGATTTACATTGGAGAACCAGGTTTGCTTGGATGCAAAGTAGTCGAGACTCCAGTTGAACCTAATTTGAAATTGGAAGGAAGAAGAAGTAAAGGATAGGGAATGATATCAAAGCCTTGTGGGAAGACTTATCTACCTATCTCACACACGTCTAGATATTACTTTTGCAGTGAGTATGGCAAGCAAATTTATGCACTCACTAGGATCAGTTCACCTTGAAGCTTCCTATAGAATTTTAAGATATCTAAAAGGAACTCTAGGAAAAGGTATATTGACGTTCAAAAAAACACAACCATTTACAGGTTAGAATTCTATACCGATACTGATTTGGTTGGAAGTACGATAGATAGAAGATCTACTTCTGATTATTGTTCATCTGTTGGAGGCAACTTAGTCACTTGGCGAAGTAAGAAACAAAATGTAGTGGCCAAAAGTAGTGATGAAGCATAATTTAGGACTTTTGCCCATGGTATTTGTGAATGGATATAGATAAAAATGTTACTCGAAGAATTGAGAGTCTTTCAAAAGGCACCCATACGAGTTTATTGCGACAACAAGGATGCCATCTCCATAGCCCACAATCTAGTTCAACATGATAGGACTAAGCATATTGAAATTGACAAACATTTCATAAAAGAAAAAGTTGACACTAGTGTGATATGTATCTCTTATCTCCCAACAATAGAGCACCCTGCTGATGTGTTGACAAAAAGACTACTGAAGGTGCAATTTGATAGAATGATTGACAAGCTGACAATGAAAGATATCTTTAAACCAACTTGAGGGGGAGTGTTGGTTCATTATTTGTAAATGTTAGTTGTAAATTAGCTATCAATATTAATTTCTTTATTTCCTTCCATGTATTGAGTCTATCTTCTATATAATAAGGCTATGTATTTATTATTATTATTTATTGAAATACTAATAATTTATTCTATTTAAATCAAGTTATATATATATATATATATATATATAATAGACATAATTAGTTTTTATAAGTTTGATTTTTCGAATGGAAACTAAAAATCAAAATCATCATGGAAGAACGGATCTAGTAGTTCGCAATTGTTAGTTTGTTGTTTGTGTAATCTTATTGTATTTTAGTGAAGATAACCCAAAAAGGTTAGTAATTTGTCCTAAGAACCTCATCCCAAGTCTCGTCCTGAATCTCCAAAGGTCAGTATAGTTGGGCAACAAGCTCACTTAGATGTGCAGCTTCTGAAGGACTAATGTGGACACTAGAGTCCCCTCTTTCGAAGAACCCAATCTAGACATCGCGGTGAGGATAGCAAGAATTCTTTTGTTGGCATCATCAACCTCTAGTGGTGGCATCACAGACACTCTTAGGAGCATCCCTGGGAAGGCTAGGCTCCCCTGATTGAGCCTCAAGGGCAGAAGGAAGTTACCAAAGGTCTACCTTTGGAAATATCGTGCCCATCTGACTAATCACCCATTCTATGCTCTGCTCCATGGTCTTTCGTTGTAGAGTATCAAGGGGCCCAAAGATAGAGAGTTGCATCTAAGTCGGAGGCTAAGAACCCTTAGAACGAGGAGACTTAGGAATGAGAGGGATAAACGGCCTGGTTACGACGACGCCATACTCAATAATAGTGACCAAGTGAGAGGCGGTGGGGAAAGACAGATCGCAACTATACGAGTTGCACCTAATAGTCTGCTAGAGGCAGGAAACTCCTCCCTTCAGCATCGCTGGGAGGACGACGACGTATTAGAGGCCCTCCTCAGGCCAAGGCTCTTGCCACCAGCACGAAGGCGCTTGTAGTGCGAAATCCTAGTTACCTAATCAATCTACAGAAGCTAGAGGAAGAAGAAGATGACACACACAATTATAGTGGTTCGATCCTTTTGGATTTACATCCACGGTACAAACTGAGCTGGAGATTTTATTTCAGAGAGGATTTTACAAAAATGAGCTCTACACTAAAAGGTAGAAAGATTTTGCCTCTATCTCTAGTGTTGCTAAAAATTCTGTTTATATAGTACAGAGAGTAAAGGTACATGAAAGATAAAAGTACTATTTTACCCCATTAGATGTGAAAATAAAATGGTCACTCACATCACAAATCAACCTTTTGACCTTTATAGCACATCTTAAACAACAATTTTTCCAGCTTCAGTAGTACTCTTTAAGTATTGTATATTTTCAACCAATTCCTACCTCGAGTAGGCTACAGAGATACTAAATTCTTGCACTTGATAGTGGTTTAGTGAGTATATCTGCAGGGTTTTGTCTTCAGAAGTAATCTTCATAAAAGAAATCAATCCTTTTGTTAGCATATCTCTAAGGTAATGATATTTAATATCTGTATGCTTAGTGCAATCATGATACATTTGATTTTTCGGAAGTGTCAATGCAGTTTGGCTATCACAGTAGATTACAAGAGTTGGAATTTCTCCCACCATTTCAGATAATAATCTTGTCAACCATGTTGCTTCAGACAAGGCTATATATTCGGACTCAATGGTGGACAAGGCGACCACTGATTGGAGGGATGATCTCCAACTTACTGTGTTTCCGAAGA